CCCTAACACTGCTGTTCAGCGAGTGACAGCAAATCTGACTTCTGTAGATATTTCTCAATATTTGCTCTTTTAGGCAATATTTGCTTTTTTTTTTCTTTAGCTGTTGGAGCAAAAGTGAACACCCAAAATGAAATAATTTACAACTCGTCCTCAAGTTGTTCCAAAACCATATGACCTTCCTCTGTGAACCATAAAAAATGGAAGGCAATGGTAACCAAATATGTTCAAATTATCTTCTTTTGTGTTCCACAGAAGAAATAAATCCATAATGGTTTGGAAAGACATGTGGATGAGTAAATGATAACAGCATATTCATTTTTGGATTGAGTATCCCTTTAAGGCACTTTAAACCTAAAATCACTAAAATTGGGCTGAGCAGCAGCATTTTCAGATATAAATTCCAGTACAACCCTTCATATTTTGACACGCACACATGCGGGAACCCATATGCATGCATGAACTTATGTTTTGTCAAATCTAAATAAGAACTGTTAAAAGCGGTTACGGCTAGCATTAGCATACATCTGCATCAGCCTTTAATACAGGGATCCAAAAAGCAACACTACATGTGCACAACGAACAGGCACATACATAATTCATATACATGCATGACCACAAACTACCTTAATGTAAGTCATTTCCATGAAAGGCAACTTTGCACATGAATATTCTATAGTGCATACTACAGCAAAAAAAAGTCTGATGATATTAAGAGAAAAAAAAATCAATATTTATTAACAGTCAGCATTTTATTTTTCTTCATCTTCCATTATTGTTAATAAATGCCACTTGTACTTTACTTCTACATGAAGATAATGCATTATGAAAAAAAAAACGTTTATTGGTCATTCTCTCTGATAAACACCTTGATTAGCCAAAAGTAGAGACAAATCTGAGCTTTTCTTTTTTTAAATAAACCCAACCATCTCACATCAAGCCAGTCTTTGTCACATAAAGATTCTCGTTCAGTTGCTCAGATATGGGTTTAGAAACGAGTATGTGTACGTACATGAACTTTGAACACACTTCTTCAGCTACTCTTTCAAACCTCACCACTGCAATAAGTTTGCAGTTTTTGTTTTGTTTTTTGCTCACATGTGACTCAGATCTGTTTTTCTCAAGACAGTGTGAACAGCAAAAACCACATGCAATCTGATCTATTCAATTCCAATTTGTGCCACTTCCATAATGTGGTACTAAATCCAATACAGGTCAGCTATTTTGCAATGCGACCTCAGTCACTCTGAACAGTAACGTAATTCATGCAAATTTGATCAACATTCGTCACAATTCTGAGCTCATGTGAGTCACTTCAAAGATTTTACATAGGCCTACCTGACGTTATCAAGACAGTTGCGAAAGGTAGTCAGTGGAAGGACAGTGATGTCTAAGAATTCATAAGTATTAGGCTACAGTGACAGCTATATCCAAGCAAAACATGAGGGCTCCTATCATAAATGTTTAAAAACTCTGCTCTTTTTTCGTATCCTCATCTTTGTTTTTTATGTTGCCTGCGCATAAATTCACTGGCTTCGGCAGCAAGATAACACTATAAATAAATGCATAATCGCTTACTTTAGTGTTCTCCGTGTTTACTTACGTATGACTGCGTGCACTAAATGGTTTTAGTGCTTTTAAACAAAGCACTAAATGGTTTAGCTCCCCAACACTTGAGCGAGCTCTTAACGCATTATAGTCCGATCTCGAAATTCTGGCCAGTTGATAATACCTAGAATATCAAAATCGACTGCTGACGGTAGATCTTTTTCCTATTTAGCACCTAAACTCTGGAACAGTCTTCCTAACATTGTCCGGGAAGCAGACACACTATGTCAGTTTAAATCTAGACTAAAAACACATCTCTTTAACCTGGCATACACATAGAACATTATACATTCCTATTATTTAAATCAGTTAAATGATTATTAGGATGCATAAATTATGTCAGCCGGAACCGGGAACTTCCTATAACACCTGATGTAATTGTTACATCATAAGAAGAATGGCATCTACTACGCTAATGTTAGTCTTTCTGTTTATTCCGAGGTATACTGTGATCAGCCACATCCGGGCCGTATCCAGAGCAGATGGTGAACCTGCACATAGACAAGACCACAACGCATGATGTAGTCAGCCGGATCCGGGCCGTATCTAGATCAGATGGAGGACCTGCGCCTAGACACAACCACAATGCATCCCTGAAGTGTCAGCAGAGATTGTTTCTAGACTCTCCCCTCTGAAGGCCATCGGCACTGATCCTCAACAAACCCTTCTCCATAACGGCGTGATGACTCCGACCTTCAACCAGATGGAACTGGATATTATTCTGAATGTTCCAATCCAATCTGACTTCTGACCTATAATGCTGCCTGAATCATAATCATACACTGTTCGTTCATTGGTCAGAGAAGAACTGGCCCCCCGACTGAGCCTGGGTTCTCCAAAGGTTTTTTTTCTCCATTCTGTCACCTGATGGAGTTTTGGTTCCTTGCCACTGTCGCCTTTTTTCGCCTTTGTCGCCATTGGCTTTTGACTTGCTTAGTTGGGGACATTTAATTTAATATTCAACAATATCACTGATCTGCCTGCATTGACACCATTATATGAGAACTGAACTGAGCTGGACGATGACATCACTGTTTTCTCCAGAGCGGCTATATATATATTATACTTTTATACTTTTTTTTACAACAAAAATGAAATATCACTGAGCTTACTTAAGCTGGACTGTGATGCTATTTTCTTCTGGAAACAAACTTTGTTGCATTATTTTCGTGTTATCTCTGTAAAGCTGCTTTGAAACCATCTGTATTGTAAAAAGAGCTATATAAATAAAGGTGACTTGACAGCGTGCCGCGTTTGGATCAGAGCAATAAATCGGAATTAAGCACTAAGACGTAGTCCTTTAAACTGCCTTTAACCATTCTGTTAATGGAATTCTCACTGAACTTCAGAATTTAAAGCATTTGCTTTTAATGCACACATAAGGTCTTTGCAAGACAATGGTGGGAGATTACACATTTAGCCATTGTGAACTCCAGTACTGGACAATAGTAAAGCAAACTGCGCAAGAAGGATTGAAACTGATATTGAAGATCAAATTGAATGAGATGCATTGCAATGTACTGAATTGGGACATGTGAACATGTGGATCATGCATATTCACAGAAATGTGATCCAGTTCATCGATGAAGACACAAATGACGACAAAAAGATATATGCAGCTATCTTCTTGACTCATGTCATAAATAGCTCCCTTCAAAGGGGAAAACTGGTGGGAAAATGATGGCAAGAAAGACAAAGAGAAGGAATTCTTCATCTTTATCACACTTTAGCATCAGAGACTTGGGGGTATCTTCATACTCCAGTGTTAAGTTTGTGGCCAAACAGACAATAAAGACTGCTAATTAGGTCACTGAAGCCATTGGAACAGACCCACACTAGTACGCACATGCTACCATTTACTCAAGCCTACTCAAACTGTCAAACACACAGAAACTAACAAGCACACAAGCAATCTCATTCTCACAAAAGTGAACACAGATTGCAAGACGAGGATTCTCTGCAGTCATACATCTCCAGTTGAGTCAGCGACAAAGTCACTTCCTCTTATAGGTGACAGTCTGGTGTACATCCAACTATTTCCTCTTTCGAACACATCCATAGAAATCATGCACACAAACAAAAGTGCACACAAGCAGCCCTGTACTATCAACTAACGCAATCTGTAAGCTAACGACCCTGACAGTAACAGGGAAACCAGTGAACGTCTACTGTTATCTACAACAGCCACAGGCTTCTTTCGGCCAACAAGCCGTGTGTGTGAGAGAATCAAAACACAAGGCTTGATATAAACAAACGACCCTTCATACAGCTAAAATGGTTTTGAGACAGCCAAATAATCACAAAAGGCCTATCCACTAGTGTAACTCGATACAGTTGAATGGGAGTGTAGACATGATGCTGTGTGTAAGGTGTGCATGAATGAATGGATTAGTGTCCCTCCTCCCACTGTCTGCTTCACATCTGAATGGCTGTTGCTGCAGCAAGACTACCATTACAGACCACAGACACTTCCGAAAGAGATGCAGCCATTTAATTTTTAGCCTCATCTCTAGAAACAATAATGTAGCTAATCCGCTTTATACTGCAATATTTATGAGTGCAGCGATAGTACCCAAAAGACTCTGAATTGCCAGACCAAAGATTATTTAGATCAACAATAGCTCTTAATATTAATACAAACATCTAAATCATAATGCTAAACATTAGTTGAAAAAAAAATGCATTTTTAAATTACATCCATGGCTGCTTGCACGTTGACTTACACTGAGAGGATGAAGAAAGGCGCGATAGATTATAGAGACGAAGGGCAGCATCTTTTGTCTGGCACAACAGCCTCTATCTGCATTTACCGACGTTTTTTGCCATCCTTTAACGCCATATCCACTAAATAAGCTGTTCCCGTAATGATAAATAAAACTGCTTCGTCAAATATAAAGGGAGCATCTAGTTTTGTTGCGTCACGCGTGTTCGCAGAATAGATAGGGTGCAGTGTGGTTTCTACGGGTTTGCATTTTAAAACTTGCTGGATTAATTTACTGGAGCAAAGGTTAATGAAGATTGTCTCCTTTCGTTTCAGCTGTAGTGCTCTCTCTAGTTGTATTTATTCATGGAATATGAATGATCTGGGGGGAAATGGGATGTAAACCAAAACAAATAGAGACGCAGTGTCATAGCCAGTATTTCTAATTCCATGTCACAGCACTCAAGCTACGATAAACATGAGAAATGAAGCGTGATACTAACGGTTTTCCCTTGTACAAGCACCATGTGCACTGGCTATTGAAGTGAACACACAAAACCCCATTGACACACCGCGCAAATGCACCAAAAGGTACACGCTCTAGTTGTCTTTTTGTTGTCCTCCTAAAACATGAATCGTGAGAATCGGGTCAGTGGAGCAGGAAGGGAGATTAGCCCACATCTGCGGGACCCACCTGCTTGTGTAGTATCGGTCAGGTCGTAGTTTAGACCAGGGTATTCACGCAGTTTTCTTCCGCTGATGTTGAGCATCCCGGAGCAGACGGCATCTTCCAGTGCACGCTCCAGACTGCGGGCGGTGTGCAGCGGGTGTTGCTGCTGCTGCTGCTGCTGTTGAATCACGCCCGGGCTCCAGTGCGCGACGTTCAGATAATGCTGGCTCTGTAGAGCCGCCGCAGGTCCCACAGCTCCCTGACTCGCCGCCATTTTCATAAGTGAAATTATTCTGACAATAATAATAGGGGGCCGCCTGCCTGGCGTGCCGCGCATGCGCAGAGGACACAGGGGGGGTGGGGGGTATGCTACTACTGGAAAGGGGCGGAGGATTTGGCACAGCTCTTACGGCATGCATGTATTAGCATAAGGATGATCAAGAGAAACCATTCATGTTTTTGTTTTTGCAAAATTAGAGCAAGCTATATTTTCATCGGGAATATTTGTAATACGAGAACTTGGTTACAGCCCTTTCAAAAGCTTTGTTATAATTAAGTCATACTTTCGTTTTTAAAAATATCTCTCAGATAATTATTGAGTGGAAAGAGGTGAAATAAAGGATTAATGACTCTCAGGGCGTGTCTTAGGCCCTACCTCCTCTCATGTGGTTGCGGTTAGTGGGGTACAGAGAACGGGCCCTGAGCTCAAAGGCGAACCCTGGCGGCTGAATTGAGAAAATCCTTGCAACATAAGGGAGGTGTTGCTGACCCCATAAACTTTAAAGTCCACATGGAATCAAAATTGAAGTTTTTGGCTTTTAGTATGAATATGTTCTTACTTTTATAAGTTAGTGTGCTCCAAAACAATGACAAAATGCACATTTAGAAGACACGTTACAGTCTCGTACCTAGGCCTATTTATTTTCTACAGACTGTATTTATGTTTTATTTTTGATTATTCAATGAATAATCCCCCCCCCCCCCCCCCCCCCTCTGAATGTAATTGTCATTCTTTTAAAACAAAAAATCTCAAATAAGTGGTTGTGGTTGTCCCACCCTCGCGGCAGTAAACACATCATCAGAGAAGAGATGGCGCTGTAAGAGGGTGCAGAAGTTTGATAAAAGATTACAAGCAGCGTCGAGCACACATGAATTTAAATAATAATGATATTATAAAATGATTTATACTATTTATTGGCCTACTTTACAGTATAAAGAAAAAAGTCACTTTACAATTTACAACAAATTCTGATATAGCTATGAAGTGTTAACAGCCTATGTACACTCACCTAAATGATTATTAGGATACTAATACTGTGTTTGACCCCCTTTCGCCTTCAGAACTGCCTTAATTCTCCGTGGCATTGATTCAACAAGGTGCTGAAAGCATTCTTTAGCAATGTTGGCCCATATTGATAGGATAGCATCTTGCAGTTGATGGAGATTTGTGGGATGCACATCCAGGGCACGAAGCTCCCGTTCCACCACATCCCAAAGATGCTCTATTGGGTTGAGATCTGGTGACTGTGGGGGCCATTTTAGTACAGTGAACTCATTGTCATGTTCAAGAAACCAATTTGAAATGATTCGAGCTTTGTGACATGGTGCATTATCCTGCTGGAAGTAGCCATCAGAGGATGGTGGCCATAAAGGGATGGACGTGGTCAGAAACAATGCTCAGGTAGGCCGTGGCATTTAAACGATGCCCAATTGGCACTAAGGGGCCTAAAATGTGCCATGAAAACATCACCCACACCATTACACCACCACCACCAGCCTGCACAGTGGTAACAAGGCATGATGGATCCATGTTCTCATTCTGTTTACGCCAAATTCTGACTCTACCATCTGAATGTCTCAACAGAAATCGAGACTCATCAGACCAGGCAACATTTTTCCAGTCTTCAACTGTCCAATTTTGGTGAGCTCTTGCAAATTGTAGCCTCTTTTTCCTATTTGTAGTGGAGATGAGTGGTACCCGGTGGGGTCTTTTGCTGTTGTAGCCCACCAGCCTCAAGGTTGTGCGTGTTGTGGCTTCACAAATGCTTTGCTGCATACCTCGGTTGTAACAAGTGGTTATTTCAGTCAAAGTTGCTCTTCTATCAGCTTGAATCAGTCGGCCCATTCTCCTCTGACCTCTAGCATCAACAAGGCATTTTCGCCCACAGGACTGCCGCATACTGGATGTTTTTCCATTTTCACACCATTCTTTGTAAACCCTAGAAATGGTTGTGGGTGAAAATCCCAGTAACTGAGCAGATTGTGAAATACTCAGACCGGCCCGTCTGGCACCAACAACCATGCCATGCTCAAAATTGCTTAAATCACCTTTTTTTCCCATTCTGACATTCAGGCCATGTTTACACGGAAACGATCTGAAGAGAAAACGCAAAAGTGGCATTTCGTTTTCACTTTTTATTCTGCGTTTAGACGAGCGTTATGGGGGGGAAATCTGCGTGCATATGGAGACGCAAAAGTGTTAGAAATGCGATGTAGTATGCACTCCAGGCGGCTAGGTGGCAATGTGAAGCACTGCCACACAACAACAACAAGTCCGTGCGCCTGCGTACAACCTTCCTTCTACTTCTCTCCCTAGTAGCGCGAAATTGAAAAGACTCTTGGACGTTTATCAGAGCTGCTAGGGCAACTTGAAGGTCCGACGTATGGAAATAATCCGACATGTTGGTTGTTATTTTCCTGTACTGGCGCATGCCTGTGACGTAAATGCGTACGCAACGAGAGCCGCCATGAGCAGATTTGCGTTTTTACCCGTTTAGACGGAAACGCGACGGTGGAGCGTTTTTAAGATTTCCACTTTGGAGGGTGGTTTCACTTTTTTGCGTTTTTAAGCCCCAAAAACGCCGTCGCCGTGTAAACGAAACGCACATCCGATAAAATATTATTACGTTTTCACCCGGAATCGTTTTCGTGTAAACAGGGCCTCAGTTTGGAGTTCAGGAGATTGTCTTGACCAGGACCACACCCCTAAATGCATTGAAGCAACTGCCATGTGATTGGTTGATTAGATAATTGCATTAATGAGAAATTGAACAGGTGTTCCTAATAATCCTTTAGGTGAGTGCAGAGCCGTTAAATATGAGAGTTGCGACACACTTTGATCTTGCCACCACGCGGTCACGTGGTTTGTGTAGCTCTCAATAGTTCCAAACAGAGCCGCGCTGTCATCCAGTTTGAATGATTTTAAGCGGGACAGACAGCAGCAGCTATATTTGCAGCAATTATAGGTAAATATTGACGCATAATGTACATTGATTATTATGTTGACCGTGACGCTTACTTTAAATACATATAATATAATTTTTTTCTGGGGAGTGACAGAAACACAGCATTAATAAGTTTTTGTGTTTAATTTTGGAGGGAAACGGACTGCTCCCATAACGGAGAATGCATTAACACCAACGACTATATTTGCAGCAATTATCGGTATATATTGAGGCATAATGTACATTGATTATTATGTTGACGCTTATATTTGCAGCAATGTTCGGTAAAATTTTAACTTCATAAAATGAAACTGGAGAGATAGTTAATGAGTGAATTAACTAACTTAGGTTCCTAAATAGGCTACGATCCATAACATGTAACGTTATGTTTTTAACATACGATCCATAACTGTTAACGGGATTCATTTCAGTATGGCTAATGTACCCCTTTATCCTTCCCTAATCATAGACTAAACCATTCATCAGAAAACACCCACAAACACATGTATACGATGTACTGTGTACAGTACACATGTATATATATTTATATCACACATAACTAACCCTAACCCATGATACACATAATATATTGTCTTATTGTGTATGTATACACTATATATATGTGTGTGTGTGTGTGTGCATGTATATATATATATATATGTGTGTGTGTGCATGTATATACGTACGTATGAATGCATGTGTATTTATGTATATTACACAAACACACATTTTGACATATGCATATATATACACACATAACCCTAACCCATTTAATAAATCACACATGGCACTACTGGACAGTACATTACATTCTGATGGCACTACTGGACATCTTCCGAATGCAAGGGATGATACATAATTTTGGCATAATGTGTCTTTCATCTGCTGCAGCAAGTTTCTTTCTTTACGGTCCTCAACGTTGCCAGTTTCTTTGTGGTTCTTCAAAAGAGCTTGGACAGCACATCTGGAAACCCCTGTCTGCCTTGTGTCTTGTTGTGCTCAATCTTGCCATGGTGTATGACTTTTGACAGTTAAGGGTCTTATGCAACCTTGTTAGTCAAGTTTGGCTGTTCCTCACCCAGTTGTATTAATGTTGTGTTAATGTTCATATTACTGTATATAGACAAATTTTATTTTGATGCTTTGGAAAAACATTGTTCTTGAAACTTTCATGCCAATAAAGCCCTTTGTATTGAATACATTTGTGTGTGTTTAATTTGAGTGAAGGGGGACTGATCCCATAAGGTATAATACATTTACAGTATGTACTGTATATATCTTTCTTGTGCTTCTATGGTCATAATAACCAACATCCTTATGATATGTTAAAAACATTCACATAAACATGCACATCAAGTGAATATCAATGAAAGGCAGAAGCTGCTAAGTTTAAGTCAAGAAAGAGGAAACGGTATTAAGGTTAATAGATTGAAGGACGGATTAAATACACATTGCAAACTTATGTTTCCTAAACTTATGTTATTTTGGCTATGTACTCCAGTACAGCATTTGAAATATAACAAAATATATATCTATATCCATATACAAACCACTATTGTTATTCAAATTTGTATTCTTACACAATAACATTATGGAAGAAGCTGGATGATTATTTTGCTCATCCAACAAATTATGCAATTAAAAATTCTGTCTGATAATGGGCATCACGGAAGCAAAAGCCAGGCGAAAAGGGCAAAAAAGAACCAGCAAGGCCAAGAAACATCTAGGCGTACAACAAGCAGGCCCCCACCAAACACCTTGATCGTTGCCATGGAGGAGTTTGGTCTGACCTTTGCTCCTACAAATGTCCCAGCACCTAGCGTGGCTTCAGCATCAATAGGTATGGAGGGTCTGTTTTGCCTTTTTTCTGGTCTCTGGTCTTATGTTTATACTAGTTTTACTGATTGTATGCTGATCATATCGTATTAATAATCCAAAATATCTGCTTCAGGAAATATGAGAAAGATGTGGTCTTGTTTGTGGTACAGTAGCTTTGGCACTTGACAATAATTTTTTTACTAATTTCAAACAATATTATATTCTATCTTACACTTACAGCCTCACCATCACTCCACCAGCTTCA